CCCCCAGGATCGGACCCAGCCCTGCCTGCTCAGCCCTAGGAACCAATTCATTCTCCTTCCCTTTGGTTTCTTTCTTTCTTGAAGCCCAGTTGTTTCCTTATTCTTTTGTTACCTACAATCCAAACCATCTCTCGTGACAGGACGTCTTCCCTCCTAAGAGGCCTCCCTATGCCTCTACCCTCCGCCAAACACACACAACCCTTGTACCCAGTACAGTCTTTCATCCTCCCCGCACAGCCTCCTGATAACCAGCTTGGTGCATCTCCACATGTGCACCAGCTTGGCCAGACGTCTGGAAACGGTGGAAGCTGAGACCCTGAGAAGGAACTTCGTGGCTGGCCAGCACCGCGGTCCCGTCAGGAGTTCACCCCCAGGCCGTACCCTCTGCCTGCCCCCATCACCGGTGCTAAGCCTGGTCCCGCAGTGCCAGCCGGGCAGAGGGTACGAGTCTCCCCTGCGACCGTCCACGCCTGCACAGCCCACCTGCTCCCACCGACGCGGGGAGCCCGTAGCCGTCGCTGCCGCTACAGCGGAAGGGAGAGACGCTAATGACAGTCGGGAAGCACCAGACTGTCATTCACAGGGCTCAGCACTCCCAAGGCACAAGTTCACGGCACTCCCGTGTCCCAGCCGCATTTGCAAATGGCTGTGAAGCGGCAGGTGGACAGAGGGCAGGGTGCACAGGAAAGTCAGTGCCCTCAGTCCACGCACAGGACTGCACGGAAGCGTGACTCCAGGGATGGGGCCAAAAGGCTGTGAGGAACCACGCGTCCACGGGGGGCGCTGATCACTTTCCCTGGGCTTCAGGGGGGCTCTTACTCCAGGTTTGGAAACCCAGTGGCCCCGGGGCCCCGCAGGGGGTTTATCCACATTCCCAAGGGCACCTGTGAAATTCCAGCTCAGTAACGCTCAGGTATCACCATTTTCTCAAATTTTGAGTACACGGGTCACATAGTGGTCATGTCGTGACGTCTTCTTGAGTTGTATGCTTTAGACAGAGATGTCCTGGGTTTGGCCAGGAGCCACATAAGGACAGTCTTCTGTTCCACAAAGCACTAGAAACAAAGTAAAGCCCGTGCCGTTGAGGGGATCCCGACTTGTGGCCCCATGTGGCTCAGGGCAGAGTTGAGTGCTGTGGGGTTTCCACGGCTGACTTTTTGGAAGGACATCACCAGACCTTTCTTCTGAGATGCTTCTGGGTGGACTCGACCCTACAACCTTTTGGTGAGCAGTCAAGTGCCTGAAGTCCTGGCCTCACCCAGGGACCCCTGGACCAGCACGCTCCTCCCTGTCTGAAGCACACACCTCCCTCTGGCCATGTCTGTTGTACCCTCTGTGGGGTAGAGGCAGGACCGGGGAGAAATGGAAGTGACGTGAGTGGCAAATGAAATTTGCATTCAGAGCCACCAGGGAGGCGGACATCTGGGAGTGGGGAGGACTGCGGCAAAGTCCGAAGGTGGCAGCAGTGACTCCATCCAATCACAGCCACATCAGATCATGGACTCAGTTTCACCGACCAAAATAATAAACAACCAAACTCACTGCCATTGAGTCGGACCCGACTCCTAGCGACCCCTCCTTGGGTTCCCAAGGTGGTATCACGAGGGAAATAAATCTATTTCCCAATTGCCCAACCTTCCTTCCGAGGAGTGGCTGGTGGGTTTGAACCGCCAGCCTTCTGGTTAGCAGTCAAGTGCCTTCGGCACTACGCCCCCAGAGCTCTCTAGTTTCACCAGTGTCTGAGTTTTCAAGAGAAAACAGAAATCTAGGGTTTTTTCCAGCAGAATCTCTAGATTCTTAAATGTCTGTCCCAAATGTGTGTCAACTGTTGAACGGAAAACTCATTTGCCCCGTAAACTTTCACCCAAACCACAACTGAAAAAACAAAGTATGAAAAAGAAACACAAGCGTTGGTCAGTCTGCTGCGCGCTCTGCCTGCTGTTTTCTCAGACACGCGGCCGCCCGCCTGACGGTGCTGCCCCGTTCGTGCCTGTGCTCCCACGAGACAGGTTTCCGCCGCCGCCATCCCTGCCCCCTCCCCAGTGCGCACAGCACTTCCTGATAGAAAGTCTTCATCTGTTTCCAGCTGTAGCTCCTGGCGACCCCACGGGTCTTTGTCCACAGGGTTTGCAACGGCTGTGTGCAAGCCGACCACCAGGACCTCATCCCAGGGGACCTCTGATGGACTCCAGCCTCCGGCCTTCTGGTTACCAGCTGAGTGTGCTCACTGTTGGCACCCCCAGGGTGCACTGTGGGGGCCGAATAAACAAACTCTAACTACGTGAACGACCCCCCACTGGACACTGTCAGCCTGGATACGAAGGTTTCCTGCCCCGTGTCCCTGGTGGAGGGTTCTGGGGTTGCCCTGATTACCAAGGACTCAGGGGTCAGCGTTTCTGACGCCACCCAGAAGGCCCCTGTACAGGTACTTGACGCGGGCAGGTACATCTGGGTGTGCACATGCACACCGCTGAGAGCCGGCAGAGGACAGGCCGGGGGCTGGCTCTGCCGCCTGCCCAGCAGCTTTCAGCAGAGAGGCGCTTGTTACTTCTCTGCAAATTCTCTCAGCCCCGAAGGAGAGGCGCTGAGCGCACTACGCACTCTGTCATCACATGTCAACGTCCCCTCCCCGCGGACCGCGCGTTACACGCTGCGAGGGCGGAACTGGATTGTGCTGGTACCCTTCCATCTGCATATGCGTTTAGCAAAAGCCACAGCGTTCCCGGAGCCCTCCGCAGCTGACACCAGCCCTTGGAGGGTCAATGTGTAGAAAGACAGAGGACAGCCACAGAGTCGCTGAATGCAAACTTTGTATTTACAGTGGGTGCGTTTATAAATATATTTTACATTTGTACAGTCTTTAATACACTCTACGTGGAGACTCAGGAGTGCGCAGCAGCTGCCGGACACAAAGGAACGTCACGCCGCCAAGGACACGGAGCGGTGGGAGGAGGCTCCTGGGAGCAAAGGGCTCCTCAGACAGGGGTCAGTCCCCCAGCCCAACGGGGCCAGGAGCAGGTGCTGTCGGGCCGTGGGCGAGCCAGGCTGAGAGCGAGCTGCTAGCAGCACCCCTGGACGGGAGTGTGCTCGGAGTTAGAGGGCAAAGCCGGGCATTGCCAGGTGTTATTTAAAGAGGTGGGGCTACACGCACAGGGAGGGAGGGGAAGAGACAGAGAGAGACGGGATGAGAGAGAAAAGGAGAGAAAGGCCAAGAAGGAGTGAGGGACAGAGACAGCGACAGAGGCAGAGAGAGGAGACAGAGAGGAGAAACGGGGGTGCAGAGAGATATGGAGACAGAGAGAGGCTGACGGGGTAGGGGGAGGGGAGAAACGGGAAAGAGCTCTCAAGACACAGGGGGAGTCCAGAGAGAGATCAGTGTCCCCACATGGCCTCTTCTCCCCTCCTCTGCCCACCCCCTGACCCTCGCTGTTGTCCCAGTCACCATTCTCTGCCTCAGCGTGAGTGTGGGTGGGATGGGGCAGGGACCCTCTGACTCCTTCCACCTCTCTTCCTACCAGCCCCTCTGGGACTCAGGGAAGATTCCAGGGTGATGTTGGTTCCAAGCCATGCTGGATCCCGGGGTCTGACATCAGAACAGGTGCCTCTGAGTCTTACACTGCCCCTCACACACCTCCATCCGTCCGAGGTGGAGAAGCTTGCATTCTGCGGGGCTGCGGGGCTGTGGGGCAGGGGACGCCACCTGCTCAATCCCACCTCCTCTCCACCCAGCGTCCCACCTCTCCAGCCGCCCCCACCTCCATGCAGACACCCAGATTTGTCTCGGCAGCCTCGAGGCCACAGCCTCAGACATGGGACACGGTGTGAAAGGCAACATGCCCATGACAGCCTCTCTCATTTCCAGAGAAGAGACCAATGGCAGCATCATTTGAGTTCAATGTCAAGACTGCTTGTCCACAAAGACCATTCTCCACAGTGAAGGACAGAGGGTAAATGTGCCCAAGGTGACTTCTCTATGCACCATCACCTGGGAGCTGATACCACGCCCAGGGAAAAGAAAGAGACACAGAGCCAGAGACCTCTTCCATTCCCACCCTGACGGTGGTTGACGGCTCTCGGAAAGGCAGCTGTGCAACAGAGGAAAAGAGATTTAGACATGAGACTCCATCGGACTGGACTTGCAGAAGAGAGCCTGATCTCTGAGCTGGGCTGGTATCCCAAGCCCAGTATCCCTAGTTCACAAATGAAGTGAAGCTTTGAGCCAGTCTGTGGATTTCTGCGTTTGTTCTTGGCATCGACGAACAAAGTGAACGGTGGCCTCTTGGCCCACTAGCTCCCGTTCCATCCTTGTCAGCAGGTGCCTCTCTCTGTCGATAACCAGGGTCGGCTTTGATCCAGCCTTCCCGAGATGCTGGCTCACAGTCGTGCCTCCTAAGACTGGCCGTGGCACTAGGCTTTCCTCTGCTCACACTCACAGCTAGAGGTGCTGCTCTGAGCTAAGTGACACGCTTCCTCCCATCCATCCATTTAGGCTCAGCCCGGGGCTCACTTTTCTTCTGTAGTCTGCAATGTTGAATCCTGGAGCCATGTGGATTGTACAATATCCAGATTACTTTGATGAGAGAGAGAGAAAGTAAGAGAGAGAGAGAGAGAGAGGGAGAGAGAGGGAGAGACTGCTCTTTCCTTGAATCTCCTGGAAGTTCAGAATTCAACTTTTTTCCAGGGTCTAAACATCTTGCCACAAATGACAAGCCTCTTCTCTTTGCGTGAGACGTTGTATGTGGAGTGGATGCATCGGTTCAGACTCGGGCCCACCCCAGCTGAATTGGGGCAGTGCTCTGGGGCCCTGTTGACAGTGCCACTCTAGCCCTGTCCTGCCACTTCACTGCTCCCCCAGGTGCATGTGGCCACACATCCCCACGTTAAAGGCTGAGAGGTGAGTTGGAATTGTGTGTGTCCGCTTACATGTTCTCATGTACCCTTTCCATGTAGTTGTGCAGCTCTCTGCTCTCTCCAGGCTCTAGGTCCTGACAGACCCACTTAATGTCATCCTCGCTGCTCATCACAAGTGAGTTCACTGTGGGCCAGCCGTCCTCCAGGGGGATGGTGGCGAAGGTGGTGAATTTCACTCGTTTCCGTTTCGAGGTCGGGGAGGTGGGGGGCTCGCTCTTCTGGTCTCTCCCGTCAGTGGCCGTGGGCCCTGAAGACTTGGACAGCTGGCCATTGCTGCTCTTCTGGCAGCCCGTGCTAAGGAGGTACTTGCTCTCCTCAAAGTCCCTGTCGATGGCCGTGATCTGCTCCTCTTGGGCAGATGCAAAGTTCATGTGGCTCTCTAGCAGCTCTGTCTGGTTGCTCAGCCCAACCCAGTCATGGGAATGTCTCATGCCTTCCTGCTCCTCGAAGGGAACCTGTTTGTGCCTGTACTTCAGGGCAAAGGCCACACAGTTTATGAGGAAGACCAGAATGGCCAGGCAGAAGACGCCTAGCAAGGCATACATTCCAATCTCCAGGTCACTCAGCCCCTTGGGTGCCTGCATGAGGTCATTCTCGTCCAGGCCCCCGTCACTTCTGGGCACGTCCACCTGGGCTGGGGAGCTGGTGAGGTCCACAGGGATGGTCTGGAAATAGCCGTCATCATCTAACAAGCCACTCTTCCTGTGGAAGGCTGACCGCTCTGTAGTGGTGCCCCTTCCTTCTGTGAGGCCCATGGAGGAGCTGCTGTAGTACTGCCCTTCCTGGCCACCCCATTCTTCCAAGGGTTTCCTGGGCTTCTTGTTGCTGACATGATTTTCTGGGTCAACTCTTGGGCCAGCATACCTGCTGTTACTGGTGTTGGGGTTAGCGTCACTCTGGCCAAATTTAACTTTGAGGTTGGCGGTCCCAACAGCCAGCACACTCTTCCTCTTGGACTTCTGGCATGACTCGCTGATGACCATTTCAACCTTCACCAGTGCCCCCTGCCCTTCTGTTTCAGCAGAGATTACAGGCCACTTGAATTTGGGGTCTTGGTGGATAGACACCACCTTCTCATCCAGGGATGTGGCCACGAGGGAGAAGTCTTTCCCATCATAAATATCCAAGGGTGTGACAGAGCCATCACTGAACTGGACCCAGCAACTGATGGCCGCTTCCTGTTGGAAAAATAAGTAAGTTAATCAAAAAGGGCCAGAAAACTCCCTGAGCAGCAAGTCTTAGTAAAACAGACATTGTGTGGGGACGATAACAGTACAAGAAAAAAGGAAAACCTTTCAAACAGTGTAGACACAGACAGAAGAAATAACCTACATATGGTAGGCCAAATGGTGTTCAACCAGGGGGTGAGGTCCAATCAATGGGGAAAGAAGAGTCTCTTTAATACACAGTGCTGGGACACCAGGATGTCTACAAGCAAAAGAATGAGCATGGACCCCTACCTCACGCCATATATGAAAACTAACTCTAAATGGATCAAAGACCTGAATGTCAGAGCCAAAACCATAAAACTCTTAGAAGAAAACATAGTGGCAAAGCTTCATGTCTTAACTTTTAAGAATGTATTCTTTGATAGGATACTGAAAGCAAGAGCAACAAAACACAAAGTAGATGAATGGTGTCCCAGAGAAATTAAAAATAAACAACCACACTTTTGTTCATCAGAGGACTTTATCAAGAAAGTCAAAAGACAACCTATAAATTGGGAGAAAATTACTGGAAGCCAAATATTGGATAAAGGCTTAATATCCATAATGTATAAGAATTCTTAAAACTTTAACAATAAAGAGAAACAGCCCAATTGAAAAATGCACAGAGGATTGGAACAGACACTTCACCAAAGAAGATACACAAATGGCCAACAAGCACATGAAAAGACGCTCAACTTCCTTTGTCGTTAGGGAGAGTCCAGTCACCACCACAGTGAGATATCACCTCAGCCAATGAGAATAGCAATGACCAGAAACAAATGAACAAACAAACAAACAAATAACCAATGTGGGCAAGGATACGGGGAAACTGGAGCCCTCATCCTCTGGTGATGGGGGTGTATAACGATGCCATCACTGTGGAGAACAGTTTGGCAATGACTCAAAACACTGACCATAGAACTACCACGGGACCCAGCAATTCCAATCCTAGGTCTACACCCAGAGGAACAAAGGCATGAAGGGGAACAGGAACCGCACGCAGTGTCCACGGCAGCACTGCTCACAAGAGCCGAAAGGTGGAAACAACCAAACGCCCATCAGCAAATGAATGGTCCGCACACACAATGGAAGATGACTCAGTCATGAAGCTAGGCAACGTCCTGATGCCTGCCATGCACGGATGAACCTTGAACAGGACGCTGAGTGAAACGGTCACAGAAGGACAAACACCGCAGGGTCCACCTCTGTGAAACAGGCAAATGTAAAGACAGCACCGTTTATTAGTGGTCACTAGGGGTGGGTTGGGCAATCCTACTTCCGTAGTGATACTGCCTTGGAAACCCAAGGAGGGGTCGCTATGAGTCGGGGCCAACTCGACGGCACATAACAACAACAACAACAGCAACAACGACAGGGGTGGGGGGCAGGAGTGCTGGTGGTGCAGTGGTGAAAGCACTGGGCTGCTGACCAGAAGGTCTGTGGTTCAAACCCACCAGCCGCTCCACTGAAGAAAGGGGAGGCAGTCTGTTTCTGAAAAGACTGATAGCCTCAGAGTCCAATGGGCATTGCCGTGAGTTGGGATTGACTCGGTGGCATTGAGTTTGTATTGTATGTTTGTTTTGAGGGGTGGGGGGGAGAAGGGAAGGGGGTTCCTTTCTTAGAGGGCACCAAGCTTCTCTCACTGGTGGTAGAATGATTTTGAAAAGGACAGTGGTAATGGTGGCACAACGGTATGAACATAACCACTGTCACCGAATCCATTATACGTGTAAGAACTGTGGGACTGGCAAACGTTTAGGATGTGTACTTTTACCACAACACAGAAAGTCAAACAAAAATGATCCTACATGAACAAAGAAAAACCGTTCACACAGTGTGGACATGGGGGATCAGCAGTAGGAAGCCTGTGAGGGTCAAAGACCACAGCCTTCAGTACGGATTACATCTCAACATAAAGAAAACAAAAATCCTCACAAGTGGATCAATAAGCAGCACCATGATAAACGGAGAAAAGATTGAGGTTGTCAAGGATTTCACTTTACTTGGGTCCTCAGTCAACACCCATGGGAGCAGCAGTCAGGAAACCAGCGGATGCATTGTGTTGGGCAAATGTGCTGCCAAGGACCTCCTGGAAGTGCTAAAAGGATGTCACTTTGAGGACTGAGCCAAGCCATGATCTTTCCAATCATGTCATATGCATGTGAAAGCTGGACAACAAATAAGGAGGACTGATTTGAAATCATGATGTTGGCAGAGTATATTGAATAAACCATGGACCGCCATAAGAACAGGCGGGAGAAGTGCAGTCGGAATGCTCCTCAGAAGGGATGATGGTGAGAATCTGTCTCACCTACTTTGGGGAGGGGGAAGACGTCGTGCTTGGTAATGTGGGAAAGAGGATGGGCCTCAACTCAACCAGTTGAACTGAGTCAGTGGCCGCAACAACGGGCACACATCTGACCACGGTGAGGCTGGTGCGGAACCAGGCGGGGTTCGTTCTGTTGTATGTGGGGTCACTGTGAGTGGGAGCTGACTCGACGGCACCCAACAACAACTAACCTATGAAAGAAAATTAATTCTTACGAAGATGTAAAACCAAACGAAAACAACAAGAAAATAACAACAACAACAACAAACAGAGCCATACCACCCCCTCTGCACTAAGCGTTTTTTCTGGAGATGTTAGCAGAAAAATGAGTCCCTTGGGCAGTGTAGGATGTACTTCTACACAATAATAAATCGCCCGTCAAAGGCTATTAGTGCTTAGTGGGATCAATTACAAGGGTTACACAAGTAAATGAGATGTACTTATTACATTATTTTTAGTTGCTTTCATACTGAGTCTCCACTTACTACTCAGAGCACACATAAAGGACCCTAATCAAGGCCGAGGCAGCCCTGACGTGCTGCATGGCCCTGCAGGAACAGGCTGGCGCTATCCTGGGGACACAGTTTTGACTGGGAGGTGAGCTGTTAAACCAGCCGTAGAGAGAATGAGGGCAGTCCTCTAGTAGCACAGTCTTTCTCTCTATAATGCTGCCCCAACCCAGTGGAGGACACAGAGGGATCAGAGTGTGTCCGGGGCCAAGGCGGGCGCACTCCTGAACCCTTGTCCCCTCACTTTGTCGCTTCAGATCTTGGGAGTAGTTTGGGGCAGATCACATTAGAGGGGACAGCTTCACGCGAGCCTTTTCAGGTGGTCAGTGCCTTTGAGTCAGAGAGTCAGCTCCGACTGATGGCAATGTCATGTACAACAGATGGAAACACTGCCCGGTCCTGCCGATCTCCGTGGTCGCTGGTGACGTCCCATACAACGGAAGGAAACGCTGCCTGGTCCAGCCCATCTCCATGGTCACTGGCACGTTGGAGTCGGTGAGTCGGGTCTGACTCATGGCGACGTCCCGTACAACGGAAGGAAACGCTGCCTGGTCCAGCCCATCTCCATGGTCACTGGCACGTTGGAGTCGGTGAGTCGGGTCTGACTCATGGCGACATCCCATACAACGGAAGGAAACGCTGCCTGGTCCAGCCCATCTCCATGGTCACTGGCACGTTGGAGTCGGTGAGTCGGGTCTGACTCATGGCGACGTCCCGTACAACGGAAGGAAACGCTGCCTGGTCCTGCCCATCTCCATGGTCATCCATGGTTGTCTGAGTCCACGGTTGTGGCTGCTGTACCTTTCCCTTTCACTGTCTACTTTACCAAAGAAGAGGCTATTTTCCAGAGACTGGCCCTCCCTGGTGACATGTCCCAAGTAACTGAGACAGTGTCACCATCCTTGCTCCTAAAGAACGTTGTGGTGGTCTCATCCATCTTTGTAAAGACCCCTTGATACTTACTCAATGGTGATTTGGCAGATGCATCGCTTCCTGCCTTCTCCTGAACCTGCTGCATCCAAGCTCAGGGGGATGGACACGTGACACTACCCAGCAGGGTCCAGCTGAGCGGAGCAGGGAGGGGGGCAACTGCAACCAGAGCCATTAATCCCAGCAGCCCTGCACCAGCCAGCCTCTCTGTCTGTCCATCCCTCTCTCGCCTTTGAAACAAGAAAGGCAGGATCGACAGAGTTGGCTGTCAGAGATGTGTGACACCTCAGGTAGAGTTGAAAAAACCCAACATTGGAGACCCCACGTGGAACTTGGCCCTGACCTTTCAATTGCAAGCGATCCAAAGCACGTGCTCATTTTCTGTTCAAGGAAACTCCTGCTTTGGGGCAGCCATAGTGGACCACGTATAAGGAAAGGTTTGGGCACCGGCTATCTCTACAGAAGACAAGAATAAACCTGACCCGAGACAATGACAGCGTAGGGACCGGATGCCAGAGGGTCCGCTTCCCAGCTCTGGAGCTGGCCCCACCAGATGCCCCCAATCCATACACTAACCCCTAGTGATTTAACTTTGTGGGAGTAGATTTCTCCTTCTTGGACCCACAGGCCCTGAGCAGCACTGAGGTCAGTTTCTGTGGTTGGTTGGTGTCTGGAGGTGACTCTGGCTCATGGCGCCCCCTGTGGGTGGGAGGGGACTGCGCTCCAGTGGTTTTCAGCAGCTGGTTCTTCAGAGGAAGGTGGTCAGGCCGGTCTTCCGAGGTGTCTCTGGGTGGGCTCGACCCTCCAAACCTGCAGTGGGCAGTTGAGTGCGTGAAGTGCATTGCCCAGGGACTCCAAGTGTATTTACAGTAGTGCTACTCTGACTTTGGGAGCAGGAAGTAAGGCTCCTCAAATATGTCTGGGTTATCGACAAGCGAAGACACCTTGGGAGAAAATTTTCAGGAACCATATATCTGATAATGGTTAAATAAATAGCCTGCCGTCTCCCATCTACAACTTAACAATAATAAAGACAAACAACCCGACTGAAAAGTGGGCAGAGTACCTGCACAAACGAATCACAAAGAGGCCATTCAAATGGCCAGCAAGCACTTGAGAAGACGCTCAACTCATTAGCCATTAAAAACCCATCACTGGCAAGTCAATTCCAACACACAGACGCCATAGGGCCCACAAGGTTTCCAAGGCTGTCAGTCTTCACAGATGCAGACCGTTGCATCTTTCTCCTGCAGAGCGGCTGGTGGGTTCAAACCACTGACCTTCTGGTTAGCAGCCAAGCACTTCCCCACTGAACCTTCAGGGCCCCTTCATCAGCCATCAGGAAAACGCGAATCACAACTACAATGAGGTACCTTCTCCACCCCACTCAATGGCAGTGGTCAAAAAACACACACAGTGCTGGGGGGCTGTGGAGGAAGTGGGACCCTCATCCACTGCTGGTGGGAATACAACACGGTGCAGCCCCTGTGGGAAACAGCGCGGTGGCTCTGCAACATGGAACTACCATGTGACTCTGCACCCCAATCCTAGGTGTGCACCCCGAAGATGGGAAGGTGGCCATGAAACGGAATCCTGCACCCCAGCATTCACTGCAGCACTGCTCACGGGAGCCCAAATGCTTGATGACTGATGTGTGAGCACAGTGTGGTCCATCCACGCAAGGGAGCCGTGAAGAGCAAGGAAGTTCCAGAACCTGCCACGACACAGATGGGCCGTGAAACACGACGCTGAGTGGGCAAGCCAGTCACAACAGGATGAGTACTGTGCGTCCCACTTCCATGAAATAAGTGAGTAGACTAAAACGGTCATTAGTGGTTACGGGGTGGGAGGACGGGGAGGGGCGGTGGCGTTAACGCGGCTGAATAATTTGGGAAAGGATACTGAGCAGAAATTGTCAAATGTGGTACATTTTGTCACGTGTATTCTCACCACAAGAAAGAAAAGGATGGCCGATGAATAAATCCAACATGGTTAGAACTGGTGCAAAGGACCCAGCCAAGCGCAGTGCAAAATCCATCGCACCTGACTGACCCCAATTCACCTGGTCCCTCCGATCTGCCGTGAAATCGGAGCAGAACGTCCACGTGCAGTCTGGGTTTCTGGAGACCAGCGTGTCAGAGCCAAGCTGCACATGGACTTGAGGCCGTCCGACGGCCGGAGCAAAGCTCAGGGAAGGCGTGCAGCTCTGGAAGGAGGAGGGTGGTGCTCCGTGGCCTGATGCAGGCGGCCCTTACTGCTTCCTTAACTCCCAACTGGAGCCCCGATTTACCGCTCCCTGAAGACAGCACAGCCAGTTAACTTCTCTGCTCTCTGTAGCTCGCCTCCTTCTGTGAAAGCAGGAGGGCTGTCTCCAGCAGGAATTCTCATCCCCACAGGGACTGTCCACTCTCAAGTGTCTTCCAATCCAGAGCCCGGTGTTGGCGAGGGGACCGGCGCACACCTGCCGGGCCAGCAGGGATGTGGGGGAACGGGCAGGTCTTGCTGTCCCAGGCCACAGGCCAGTCCAGCTCAGCACTCCTCCCCGCTCTGAACACAGCCACGGCCTCAGCAGGTGCTCCGGGGACGGCTGCGTCTGGCAAACCCCCTGCTGAGCGGGGAGTGTGCAAGGACGGACCCTCTGACAAGGGAGTGTCCGGAAATACCTTCCACGTGGGCTGGCCGCCCACCAGCCCTACGCGAGGACGACCCCTTCCCACGGCAGGCTGAGTCAGCGTCTGTGACCACTGTCTTCTGTTGCTAAGCGAGGGTCAGGGGACCGAGGCGCCTTGTAGAGCATTGGGGCGCCCACCCCCAGTGAGGAGGACACAGGCATCTGCCCGTTCCCTACAAAATGCTTGTTTATTACAAATGATGGTATCAACACACACACCCACACCCCCAACACACATATAAACATACATTCACATACTCACGACACACATCTATACCCCACACACATCTATACACACATCACACACATGCACATGCAACACACACACATACAACACCCATATATACAAGCTACACACATATACACATACACTGCACATACACAGCGTACATGATTTCATGTATAACACATATCTATGCATGCAACCACACATGCACATGTGTATACACACGGCACACATATACAACACACATACACACTTGCATATGCAACACACATATACAATACACACATATGCATACATACACACATTCTGACAAAACATATATATGAACAATACATACCATACAATACACAGAACATACTATCCCACACATACACACATATATTCATACATACCACAAATACAACACACACATACACATGTCACACACATACACACACACCACAGCCACATCCATACACATCACATATACATGACGTGTGTACACACATACACACACTACACGTCCTCACTATGGCATGATACATACTACACATGCGTGTACACACAGCACACGCTCACACCTCATCTCAAAGGATGAAAAATAGGCCCTGACTGACACCACGCAGGCCGCATTCCTGCCCCGAGCTGACCCATAATGGGGTGGGGACCTCCTGCCATCAGTCACCTCCTTGTCCTTGCAGGGACACTGAGGCGGGATGTGGTCACTTCTGTGACCCCCTCACCGTCTAGTGCAGCCGTGCCCACGACTGGGCCTGTCTGGGAAGGTGTGAGGCTGCTCTGTCTCTGGCTGGCCCGTCCTCTCTGATTCACACGACCAACTTCTTGTGTACTTGCGTTTGGGGAGCAGGAGGACCAGGCAGACAGGCACCCACTGCCCAAGCCGGCCCCCAGCTGACATGCCACCCCGTGACTCCACCAGCATGTGCGGCCCAGCAGGTGTGTGACTCCACCCACTTGACGTGCGACCCCAGCCGCCAGGCACCTGCCTGTGCGTGGCCGGAGCCCCACACACTTGTGCAGGCGTGCACGTCCCAGTGGATACGCAGCCCTGCGTGACACGTGACCCCGCCCACCAGAAGCTTGCCCCTGTGTGGCCCACGTCCCACACACCTGCTCCGGTGTGCACGCTGGGTGGATGTGCAAACCCGCTCAATATGTGACCCCCCTTTGCCAGGTACCTCCCATGTGTGACCTGAGCCCCACACACACGCTCCAGTGTGCACGCCGGGTGGATGTGCAAACCCGCTCAATGTGTTGACCCCACCTGCCAGGACCCCACGTGGGTGTGGCCCAGGCCCTGTACAACCCCACTCCACGTGCGATCCCGCCTGCCAGGTGCCCCATGCCCCACGCGTGTGGCCCGAGCCCCACCCACCTGCTCTGGCCTCTGCAGGAGCTCCTGGGCCACCGCTGTGGCAAACACAGCCCTGTTGCTGCCTGGGCTGAGCTGCAGGGACAGGGACAGTCCCGTCACCAGCTGGACGCCGAGGTCCGTGATGGTCACCTTCTCGTCCAGCACCATGACGGTCTTCTCAGCCAGGATGGCGTCCGACAGGGGGGACAGGATCTGAGGGGAGAACACAAGACAGACGAGGCTACTGTGAGCCTGGGGGTCACCTGCGGGCAGGACGGGGTGGGGGCAGACACACGAGCAGAACAAACAGGAGCGGGTCTCACTGGGACCGTTCTCCAACACCCACAGCTCACGGTGCACGTGGAGGTCGTTCTCAGGGACAGCAAGGCGGCCATGGGTGGTACCCCTCCCTCCACCCCACAAATACCCTCCATCACTCCCACATCCCTGTCCTCGGCAGGGGGGCCCTGTGCCTACTTCCTGCATACCTGCATACCGACTTGACATTCTTCTCCAGCACAGAGCGTCTCCATGGTTACCCCGGGGCTATCCCATCTAAACACACTTATGTGTTTCACTTTGTTTTTGTAGCATGAAAAAACAGTGGTTTCGGTGTGCTAGTGAGAAATTTGAGGAGCTGATTGCATAGCTGTTGAAGCATTTAGCTTCTAAACAAAAGGTCAGTGGTTCAAACCCATTAGCCACTCTAGGAGAAGGATGAGGCAGTCTGTTTCAGGTAAGACCGACAGCCTTGGAAACCCTGTGGGCAGTTCCACTCTGTCCTCTAGGGGCGCTGTGGGTCAGAATTGACTTCACAGCAGTAGGTTTGGTTTCAGTTATATATTATCTTTTTTTTTTTTCTTACACAAATGAAAGTCAATGTGTACTAAGAGGTGTAACATTTTTTGCTGGATGGGTCACCGTTTCCTTATAACTAGAAGGTAGAGACTGTTGATCCCTGCACCCTTCAGATCATCTCACACGTCCCTGGGGCTCACATGCCATCTAGAGTTTGGAAGATGATCTTCCATCCTCTTGAAAACACCAGTGCCACATCCCCACCCTGGTGCCAGTATTTCCAAGTCTCATCTCTCCATGTTTCCAGCCTGCAATGACCTGGGAGGTGAGGCTCCTGCCCCGTTGAGATGCCGGCTGGGAGATCCGGCTTCTGAACCTGTGTCACTGTCCCCATCCCTGGCCACTCGCCCCCGTGATGAAGAGCTGGTGTGGGGTAACCTAGGGGGAGGACTGGGCTCTCTGGACACACTGCTTTTCTCAAGCGGTTGGTGACGCTGATGAAGACGTGCGTCAAGAACCACAGGCCCCGGGATCCTTAAGCTGGATCAGAGCCTGCGTCTCCGTCCATACCACCTCCAGCATCTGGGTCTGGTTTTGATGACTCAGCTGGCCATGCGCATGAGAGTGAGCCCAGAGAAAGTGCACCCGTATCGCGGGATAAATGAGGTGGCACTCAGGGTATCCGACGATTCCAAGCCTGGACAGCTGGCCACGCCCCCTCCCACCCGGCCTCTGGGCTGGCAGCATGGCAGTCTGTGCTCAGGTGACCACAGGCTTCAGTTCACTTCTGATGCCAGCTTCTGGCAGTGGGCACCAGGCCAGTCCCCGGATGCTGTAGGGTGGGGGGAGGCAGGCCACGCATCTTGCATGTCAACTGTGGGCAGCTGCTGGCCCTTTTCTGACATAAATGACACTTTGAAATCAAATCAACAGCCATCATGCAAAAAACAGGAGGATTTCCTGCAAAAAGGCAGACTTCCAGCAAAGGGGCAACCAGTGGCCACAGTGGGCTGGTGCGTCCTCTCGGTGGTTTCTAGCTGTGGGCAGCAGCTGTCACCTTCGCCACAGTCCTCACCACCCCCTACAGTCTTCCTGACACTGAGGACCACCGTCACCCACCATTTTTCATCCCACAGGATGGCGCCTCTCAGTTTTAGAGCCCCTGGGAGCATGAGACTCACAGTCTGCAGTCCAACCCCATTTATATTTGTGAATAAAACCTCCCTTTAAACACCGGCTGGTTTGCAAGTGCACATGTTTTGAATCTCGCATAGCCTGCTACCCCTCGGCCTCACGGGACCTTCACGCACACCTCTTCAGGGACCCCACCATGGCCTCACCTCCAAGGGGCCAGTTAAGGCAGAGCCAACCTCCCTTTGTTCTCACTCAGAACTCGCTGGCTGGCTGCTCGGCAGGGGAGGAGCATGGGGAGCTGGCCGAGTGTGTCGTACCTGAATGGTGGTCATCCCGAGCTCCTGTCCGATCAGGACCTGTCCCCCCTGCACTCGGGCGATCCTGGGGTCCTCCACCTGCATGAAGTCACGCACCAGCTCGGTGATGTCCACTTGCCAGTCAGCGCCCAGCAGGTGGGCCAGGTGTCCCCCGGGCTCAGCCGCCTCGGCCACAAACTGGGTGAGGGTCCGCACTGAGGCGTGCTGGTACTGCAGGGTGCAGCCCCGGCCCCGCCGCTCCTCCTCCTCCTCCTCCTCCTCGCTGTCTCGGGCCGGCCTGTCAGAGAGGCAGTTGAGTCTAGCAGGCACTGTGGCTGGCCACCTGTCGGGGCTGCGTGCAAATCATGATATGGGCTGCGAGTGGGTGTGGGACCACCCCTGCCTCGTGGGGGTCACAGCCTAGTGTGGACCCAGATAGAAGAGCAGGAGTGACATTCAGGAAGTGCAGCCACTGACCTGCACACTGAAAAGGCTTCACCAGAGCTTCGAGACTAAGACAGACTAGTGAAAGAGGCCTGGTGACGTGGTCCTGGGAGTTAGCCAAGGAGGAGCCTGGGGCCTGTGAGAGAACGCTGCGTGAGGTAGTGGTGGAAGCCGCGCCCCAGGTGGGAGATGCCCCAGCTCAGCGGCTGCAGCACTGGGCTCAAGCTGACCCGTGATGAGGAGGAAGGCAGCGTCTCGTTCAGGGGTGGCCCTGAGTTGGAGCCCCCTTGACTGTACCCACCAACAAGGACGACAACACAGGGCATGAGATGACGCACCGTCTGCTGGGAACGCAGCGAGGAGGCCTGGGGCCCCCCAAGAAAAGTCTGATGGAGAACGAGGCCAACGGCAGGCACAGCACAGCCGAGCGATGGGGAGAGAGGCGTCATGGGCCCTGGACCCAGCCACGCCGGCAGCAGCACACAGACTGCAAGGTGCTGCCCCTGTGAGTGCCCGTCCAGCCCCAGCACATGTGACGGGGTCCCTGCCGAAGGGACCAGCGCACCCACCTCTTACTGGCTATGATGGGCACCCTCCATCCCTTGATCTGGTTGAGCTCAGCGTCAGAGATCTCGATGTGCAGGGGCAGCTGGGGCACCCACACTGCCATCTCCAGGGCACCGTGCAAGTGCTGGTAGGTGAAGTTCACCACCGCGTTCACCCTGCCCTTCATCTCCTTGCCGTTGACAAAGACGTAGTCGCACCTGTCCGACACCTGTGCAGGGTGAGAGGGCGGGAGACGCACGTGAGTGTCTGGTCCATTCTACCACCCAGTGGAGACATGAGCCAAAGGTGACCACATGCATTGGCCCTGGCCACTTCCATCTTCACAGCAAACTGGCCAGGGACGGACACCAAAACCCAGGCTGCTGGCACGACTAACGTGGCTTCTCCACTTCGTCGTAGGCTTAGCTCTGTCTCCAAGAAGGTGGCCCATGACTGCTGGGAGGTTAACAAGGAAGGGACAGCTTGTCCTCGGAAGAATGTGGTCCCAAGCAGATTGACTACCCCACAGAAGAGCTCACACAAGGAACCCGCCTGGACATGTCCCTAATGATTTACCAAAAACAGCCACTCAGAAGAAGGGCCTCTCGCCAATCCCAACAGTCTTTACTGTTCGCTCCCGACAGTTTAGTATTTCGGCCTGGGAGGCGAGTGGTGGCGCGCCTTCTGACTGTCTGGTTGCTCTGTGCCACGCTCGTCTGCAGAGCTCTCTGTCCCCCATAAACCCCTTTTACGTTTACTTTAAGCTGATGCCGCCATTTTGGTCTATGACAGCCCAGTTAGTCCATGAAAGCCCCTTTTCACAGTGCCAACTCACATCAGTGCACAGCCAGTTCTTTGAAATGGAGGCAAATAAGCAGAGATTTTAGCCACGGAGAGCTGTGTTGCATGGCCCCTGAGAATCTATCCAGCAGCTGCCAGCCGCGCCTGAACCCAAACAGCCGTCACCAAGTCAACTGGGGGTCACGGTGACCCCTGTGTGTCAGAGGTGACCTGTGCTCCATGGGGTTTTCTTTTAAATAAAAGTGTGTCTTCAGGGAAGGTGTGCACAGCCGGTTAGGACCCTGTTCCACAATTTCAGCACAACTTGTCCAGTGACACTGGCTACATCACAATGTGTGAACATTCTCTTCCATTCTGGTAGTTGCATGTCCATTCATCTAGCAGCCCTGACTGCTCACCTCCTCATCTTTGTTTTAAAGTAATCGCTGGCTGTTTGGTCTCACCTAGATGGCTTTTCCAAAGAGCATGGTGCTCACAGGTGTGAGTGAAAGCCTTTGTTTTGTGAGCAGGGTTTGTGAAACACGGGGTTCCCAACAGGTGACTTTTCAGAAGTCCGTCAGCAGGCTGTCCTTCCAAGGCCCCTCTGCATGGATGTGAACCAGCAACCTTGCAGTGTGCTCCACCAGGGACCCCGCGAGCCCTAGATGAGTCAAACCCTGTGGTTATCCGGGCCCTCAGCCGTCACTGTCCTCAGAGCTCTCTGACCCAGAGACTGCCGCCCCTGCTGCACAAGGGCACCTGAGTCACATGGAGGTGCTCCTGCCTTCTCTCCTTCCCCGGGGTCTCCATGTCCCCTTCTGGGGGACCCCTGTGCTGCTCGTCTCTGCATTCGTGTGGTCAGCGTGTCAGTCCCAACAGCTTCTCCTGCAAAGCTGCTGTCTCGTGGGTGCACCTTCTTCAGTGACCAGCCCTGAACCTCCCAGAAAGGGAAAAGCAGAGGTCCCTATGGGAAGGAGTAGGAGCTCTGGGGGCGCAGTGCCTAAGGCACCTGACTGCTGACCAGAAGGCTGGCAGTTCAGACCCACAGCCACTCCTCAGAAGGAAGGTTGGGCAGTCTATTTCCGTAGTGATACCACCTTGGAAACCAAGGAGGGGCACTGTGAGTTGGGGTCCGACTTGATGGCGGTGGGTTGGTTTGTTTGGTGTTGTGAGGGGGGGAGGCCCTGGGTGGTGCAGTGTGAACGTGCCAGGCTGCTAACTGAGAAGTTGGTGGTTTGCGCCCAGAGACAACTCGGAAGAAAGGCCTGGCCACCTACTTCTGGACGTCAGCCTGGGAAGCTCCGTGGGGAGTGGTTCTGCCTGATGCACGTGGAGGCGCCAGGAGTCACAGGAGGATTGAAGGCAACTGGCTTAGAGGCAGGATTAGCAGCTAAGCATGGACCCTTCCTTCTTCAGGGAGGAGGACGCAGACAAGGAGGGAGGAGGGAGGGAGGCAGCAAAGAGATGGACAGACAGACACGACTGTTGTGGTCAGGTGCCATCCTGTCGTCTCTGACTCACAGTGACCCCGTGCCCAGCAGAACGAAACACCGCCCGGCCCTGCGCCAGCCCCACAATCCCTGCTGCACCTGAGCCCATCACCACTGCCACTGTGTCAGTCCATCTCGTTGAGGGCCTTCCCCTCTCATCGACCCTCCACCTCATGGAGCATGACATCCTTCTCCAGGGAATGGTCCCTTCTGACAACATGACCAAAGTATGTAAGATGAGTCTGGCCATTCTCGCTTCCGAGGAGCATTCCGGCTGCACTTCCTCCAGGACAGGTCTGTTAGTGCTGGCGGCCGACGGTACTGTCAGCATTCTCCGCCAGCACCACAGCTCAAAAGCATCCACTCTTCTTCGGTCTTCCTTGTTCGTTGTCTAGCTCTCGCATGCATGAGGCGATTGGAAATACCATGGCTTGGGTCATGTGCACCTTAGGCTTCAAACTCATGTCTATATACATGGTAGACAGTGAGATAGAGAGCTAGCCAGCTGGATGGGTGGCCAGACTCCTTACAAAGAAGCAGGCTGTCTTGTGAGCTGGTCGTCAGTCGCTGAGTGTGGAGGAAGGGGGTGGGTGCCAGCTGCACTAGGCTTAGTGGTGAGCGCACGGCTCCGTCTCTGGGTTTTGTCTTTAACTGTGTGTTTATCATTCACAGGGCTGAGAAAAGTGGGACCAAGACCCTGGGAGGGGGAGAGGGTGAAGACCAGGAAAGCAGGGCTCCTCAGGTGTGCAGGGCGGGTGTGTGCAGGGCGGGTGTGTGCAGGGCGGGTGTGTGCAGGGCGGGCTGTGGGGAAGTAACAGGTGACTGCAGACACCCAGGGCTTGGACCAGCAGAGCTGGGATTATGTGGCAGGGAGCTGAGACAGGGGTAAGTGTGTGTGTGAGTGTGTGAACAGTGGGTGAGTGTGTGCATATGTGATCATGTGTGAGCATGCATGTGCAATTGTGTGGGAGTGTGTGTCTGTGTGTCTATTTGTGAATACCATTGAGAGAGTATATATAGAGCATATGTGAGTGTGTGTATACATATGTGTGAGTGTGTGCAAATGAGTGTATTTATGTGAGTGCAATTATGTGTGTATGTGTACATATGTGTGTACATGACTGCACATGTGAGTGGTTATATGTGCGTGTGTCAATGTATGTGTATCTGTGTGTGTGTGTGCATATAGTTTGTGAGTGTGTAGTTGTGGAGGTGTGTTATCTGTGTGAGTGCAGGTGATTGTGGTTGTGAGAGTGTGCATGTGTGTGTGTGGATCTGACTGTGTGTACCTGTCAGTGTGTAGTTGTGTGTGTGCATGCATATGACTGTCTGTATCTCTGTGTGTAGTGTGAGTGTGCATGTGACTGTGTGTACCTGTGTGAGTGCACATGGGAGTGCGTGTGAAGTGTTCATACTAAGGACAGACACACGCTGTATCTGTGCGTAGTGTGTGTGCACGTGACTATGTGTGTATCTGTGTGAGTGCATGTGAAGTGTTCATAATAAGGACAGACACGCTATATCTGTGTGTGCACGTGACTATGTGTGTATCTGTGTGAGTGCATGTGAAGTGTTCATACTAAGGACAGACACACGCTGTATCTGTGTGTAGTGTGTGTGCACGTGACTATGTGTGTATCTGTGTGAGTGCGTGTGAAGCATTCATACTAAGGACACACACATGCAGTATCTGGCGGGAGCGGACATCGACGCCCCGTGAGCGTCCTGCTGTAAGACGCTCCTGAAGTCCGGGTGCTGTCTGTGGGAGGCGGTCAGCACGACTCTGGCCAAGTCGCCTGGCTTCCCTCCGGGCGTCCAGTGGGGCGTCTTGTCCTCCGGCTCCTTGTCGAGTGGGGCTGCCTCTCTGACTAATTGGGCCGTGTCACTTCCTGGACCGTTTCATCTCTGATGAGAGACATTCTAGGCTCTTTCCCTGTGGCACGGTGGCCGGGGATGTCTGAGCCGTGGTGGTCCGGCACCCCACGCCCTCCCAGGGCTCTGACACAGACAGGCCTCTCGCTAAGGGACGGGGGCAGTGGGCGGCGGGCAGCCCGTCCTGTGCTAAGTCGTGGCAGTTCCAGGCTACTCCTGACGCCCGTCTACCCTGGCATATTCTGGACGGAGAGGCCAGGCCTGAGGGCAGAAGACCTGAACCCGGGAAGGTTAATGAGGCAGCGGCCACGAGCACGCTGACTGGTGCAAACATAAGACGGGCCAAGAGGATATAACTGGGGTGGACGCTGGGGCACAGGCCTCCGTCACAAACTGGCTGCACCCGCATCTTCCCGAACGCCAAGTCTAGGACCCCACCTCCTAACACTAACGACTTCCTAATGACGCCAAGTGAGCAAAGAAACCCAGTTAGGAGTGACTCCGGGCCTCGGAGGCTGCGCCTCGGACGGAGCAGGGAGCGGGGACCTGCGTGAGGGAAATGCAGGAGGGGCGTCTCACGGGGAGAGACTTCGGAGGCAGATAAAGGGCACGGCTCTGCGCCCGACTGGAGTACGGACCCCACCCGGCGTCAGCCCACCGTCCAACCCCACTTCCAGCCCCAGGTTCCGTCAGAGCAGCGTGAATGTGCCCAGTACAGCCCGTTTCTGCTCACATCCCTGGCTGGTGCGGTGAACGTGTTCGGCTGCCAACCTGAAGGCTGGGGGTTCCAGGCCACCCAGGGCACACTGGGAGTCAGGCCAGGAAAACCCTGTGGAGCCATTCTACCGCCAAACCCGTGGGTCACCGCAGCTCACACTCAACTCGACGGCAATGGTGTCGAACGCGTTGTTGACGTGGCTGTGAGCAGGGAGATCGGGCCCCACAGAGCAGACGGCCGTGGGGACGCGGAGCAGGCATTGCAGTGCTGCGTCACGAGCCCCCAGAAGCCAGACAGCAACGGCATCAATTCCTGGAGCCGGCGGGGGAGCGCGGCCCTGCCGGCATCCTGCTGGGGGCCCAGTGGGAC